TCTCCCTCCCCCTACTCTCCCTCCCCCCAGCCAACAACCAATAATTTTCTTGGAGCATTTTCAGGCTCGCTTTGGCTCGTGGGAATGGGACGTCATACCCATGCGCAAGTTCCCCATTCGCCTCACTGCTTGTTTCTCTCCCTCCCCCCAGCCGGCAACCAATAATTTTCTTGGAGCATTTTCAGGCTCGATTCGGCTCCTGAAAGTGGGACGTCATACCCATGCGCAAGTTCCCCCTTCTGTTTCCCCACGGTTTCCCCCCACCCCCCTCCATTGTTTTCCCAGCCGCCAACCAATAATTTTCTTGGAGCATTTTCAAGCTCGATTCGGGTCGTGGAAGTGGGACGTCATACCCATGCGCAAGTTCCCCCTTCTGTTTCCCCACGGTTTCCCCCCACCCCCCTCCATTGCTTTCCCAGCCGCCAGCCAATAATTTTCTTGGAGCATTTTAGGCTCGCTTCGGGTCGTGGGAGTGGAACGTCATACCCATGCGCAAGTTCCCCTTTCTGTTTCCTCACGGTTCCCCCCACCCCCCTCCATTGCCCTCCTAGCCGCCAGCCAATAATTCTCTAGGAGCGTTTTCAGGCTCGCTTCGGGTCGTGGGAGTGAGACTTGCGCAAGTTCCCCATCGGGCCGCGCACGGGCGAGTTGGCTGTGTGGAGGAACGTGTTTCTTGTGGTGCGTGCACCGGAGGAGGGGCAGTATGGGTTCATGTTGTGTGACAAACAGCACAAGCAGGTGAATGGAAAGGCGTCATGTGTATGATCGCAAGTTCCCGATAGGCCCGCGCACGGGGGAGCTAGCTGTGTGGAGGAACGTGTTTCTGGTGGTGCGTGCACCGCAGGAGGGGCAGTACGGGTTCATGCTGTGCGATAAGGAGCACAAGCAGGTGCGTGGGAGGGCGTGGAGGGTTATGGGAGAGTAGGATGAGTGGGGCAGCAGCATGGTTTCTATCGGTAGGATGAGCACGTACGCTGCAGGAGGGGCAGCATGGGTTCGTGCTGTGCGACAAACAGCACAAGCAGGTGAATGGAGGGGCGCGGGAGAGTGGGATGCATGGAATGTGGGAGAGAGGGGCAGTATGGGTTCATGCTGTGTGACAAACAGCACAACCAGGTGCGGGATATGGGAGCGGAGGGGCAAGAAGCACAAATAGGTACGTGTCCGAACCATTTAGAAAACTGATGTGGTACGTGCCTAGTTCCTCTTCTCTGATGACGAATTTACCCGCCTCAAAGTTACTCTCACACACTCAAGCATGCATGCACCTTGCACATGTGACCCTGCACCTGCGTCCATCTATACCCCTGTCCCCATCCCAGAACCAGGACAACATCACATTCGACCCTTGCTTCCTCTTCCCTCAATGCCAATCCCACACATACCCTCCCCTGTAATCATGTGTGCCACTCATGCCCCTGTCTCCATCCCTGAAGGACAACTTTGGAGGTCCTCTTCCCCACGACGCATTCACCCGCCTTAGTGCCAATCCCTCCCCTGTATTCTTGTGCGACGTGTCCACCCATACCCCCATCCCCATCCCAGAACCAGGACAACATCACGTTCGACCCTGGCTTTCTCTTCCTAACGACGCATTCACCCGCCTCAGTGCCAATCTCACACATACCCTCCCCTGTATTCATGTGTGCCACCCATACCTTCTTCCCATCCCCAGAACTAGGACAACATCACATTCGACCCTGGATTTCTCTTCCCCAACGACGCATTCACCCGCCTCGCACACGCCATGGCTGATTCCATGGGTGGCCCTCACCGCTTTGACTACGTGCATATTAAGCGAGGGGACAAGCTGAACGCTACCCGATGGCCCCATTTGGATAGAGACACCCGACCTGAATCGTGAGTGCAGTGGCTCGCTGTATGGCAGGGCAGGTGTAGGGCAGATGGAGAGAAGTGCCATGTAGCCGGGCGGCCAGCACTTCTTTGACTATGTGCATTTTTAAGACGTCTCAAAAATACTCTCGCTTCTCGTACGGCAGGGGGACAAGCTGAACGCCACAAGATGGCCGCACCCGGGTCAAGACACGCGGCCGGAAGCCTGAATACCCGTTCTGTCTCTAGCGTATGGGACGTGATGGCTCGTCGGGTTGTGTGTGTCGTATTGCAATTGCACCACAGCAACAAGCTCAAAATCCCACGCAAACTGCACGTGGATCGAGACTCCCGGCCCGACGCGTGAGTGTCTGCTCTCCCTTTTGGTCGTCTGCGAGTTGTGGCACGTACAGCGAGGGGAAAATCTTGATGCTACACCGCATACTCCATGCACAGGAGGAGAAATCTTGAGTCGACTCACAACTCTCTTGTGCTGCCCGCCCCTCTCGTGCCGCCCCACCCCTCTTCTGCCCGCCCCTCTTCTGCCTGCCTGCCCCTCTTCTGCCGCCCCTTCCCTCTCTCACTCCAGTCTCCTGCAGAAGCTCCCATCGCTCGTCCCTCCAAACAGCACTCTCTACATCGCAACCAACGAGCCAGACCCCCACTTCTTTGATCCCCTCAAAACCGCATACACCGTTCACAATTTAGCGGATTTCGCATCTCTCTGGGGTGAAGGGTCCGCGTGGGAAGCGGAGATGAGGGAGGTTGCGGCTTCGGTGGGTGTGGCGGTGGGGAAGAGTGTGGAATTTGACAGCGAGATGCAGGTTCTGGTGGACTATGCTTTAAAAAGGTTGCGAGAAGGACAGTGGAGACGTTTAACGACCTCACGGATGATCCCAAGGACGGTGAGATGCGGTGGAGAGCAGTGAGGAGGTAGTTGAATGCGGTGGGAAGTGGTGGGAGGTGATTGGGGGGGTTTGGTAGTGAGATGCAGGTGCTGGTGGACTATGCGATCAAGAAGCTTGCGAGGCGGATGGTTGAGACGTCTAACGACCTCACGGATGATCCCAAGGATGGTGAGATGTGGTGGGGAATGGTGGGGAGGTTGTGAGATGCGGTGGAGAGTGGTGGGGAGGTTGTTGAATGCGGTGGGGAGGTGGTTGGGAGTTTGGCAGTGAGATGCAGGTGCGGTGGATTATGCGATCAAGAAGCTTGCGAGGCGGATGGTTGATACGTTTAACGACCTCACAAATGATCCCAAGGAGTGTGAGATGCGGTGGGGAATGGTGGGGAGGTTGTGAGATGCGGTTGAGAGTGGTGGGGAGGTGGTTGAATGCGGTAAGGAGGTGGTTGGGAGTTTGGCAGTGAGATGCAGGTGCGGTGGATTTTGCGATCAAGAAGCTTGCGAGGCGGACTGTGGAGGCGGATGATCCCAAGGACGGTGAGATGCGGTGGGGAGTGGTGGGAGATGCGGTGGGTTGAGATACCTTGCCCTACCTTGCCCTACCTTGCTCTACCTTGCTCTACCTTGCTCTATCTTGCTCTACCTTGCTCTAACATGACAACATCTGCCAGTGTACTTCCTTCCTGCCCATGTCCCATGAGTCGTCCTCTCTTTCCATTCCTCTCGCTCCACACCAGTGCTTGCCCCCCACTCCCGTCCCGCTGCCCCCCATTTTGTTATCTCCATTTCATCCCCTTTCCTCATTGTGTTGACTCTCTTGTCGTTTTCTTTTTTCCCCACGGCATTCCCACTCCATGCCCTTTCCCGGCAGGTGTTGTAGGGCCTTAGGACACGAGGTGACAGGTGCTGTGGGGCCTTAGAGCACGGTGTGCTAGGAGCCACACAACTGATGATAAGGGTATTGGTGTAGCCCATATAGTTGAAGCCGTTGTTAACTCAGCCTTCGTGAGTTTTCTAAGCTAACAGAGCTTAATACCCTGCGTCGAAAACCTTCATAAAGATTGGTTTGGGAGCTATAAAAAACGATGGGTGTTGTGTTTCTCTAACAAACTGGGTGCTGGTGGGATCCCCTTCTATTGTGTTTGGGGCAATGGTTCCACTATTTTGGAACACAACTTGTTCACCGTGTTAAAACGAGTGATAACTCTGTAAAGGAAAACTCCGAAATAGTGTATCCGTACGATCACAGCACCGCGAATAGAGCTGAGATGGGCGTCCGGACCAGGTCAAACGCGGTTTCTGCGAGTCCAATTGGGCCAGGTCGGATCAGCCGTGCCCAGTAAGGGTCACAACAATCTCCTAGCAACATGGGCCATTGTCTTCGCCCTACGAATTCATATGCGCGAACCTCGGGAGTATCCCCAACCGCAACAGTCGTTCGTGAGAACGTTGTCGTGGAAGTTTCGCCAAGGAAAAATTGCGAATCTGTGGTTTTGACGATCATCGCCATAAGTAGATCGGGTTTCGACGACATGTTTCGGCAGAAGTGTAACTTCTGTTCCCACCCTTCCTGACTACAATTATTTGTTAGCGACTCTGCATCCTCAACAACTACAATAATCGTCGTTCTTCATCTAGCATAACAGCCACAACAGGCACCGTGAAGTCTGATTGTCAGGGAATTCTCGTTCCGAGTCTCATTGTCCCTTGCTTTGCGACAATAGTAGCCGATCCCAATCCTTAGCTAGCTTTCATGGCTCATTCACGACACCTCCATACGAGCGAGCTTCGCGCTTTTCTGCTCTCCGTCGCGATCGTACTGATTCTGGTGCTACCATTAGCGCGCGCTCAACAGCGGTGCTCGAGCTCCACGCCGTGTGACCCGCCGAGCCTATGCTGCAGGTTAGTCTTTTGAGACGTCTCACAAGGCGCTCCTCTCCTCTTCCTGTCAGGGTCGTCTTCATGCTTTCAGAACACAACCTTTCAGTCCTTCAAGATGCTTTTCAAATACCTCTTCTAGTACTTGCTAAACATACATTCAAAACACGCATTCATTTCTATAACCCATCCACCCATATTTCAGGCTCAGGCTTGCATTCACGACGACCTTTCTCCTCGCCCCTAAATACCTCGCTCGCCCTTGTCTCTTCGGTCTCGCATTCCTTCGCATTTACGAAATCTTTTTTTTTTTCACCTCTGTTTCTCCCGCTCTGTTCTTGACACTCTTTCCCCTTTCTCGAACGTCACCCGCGTTTACCCTCAGCGGGGCTGGCTATTGCGGAACCACTGACGCCTACTGCGGCACGGGATGCCAAAACGGGCCGTGCGGTTTTGGTGAGGATGATTCTGTTCATTTAGATGCTTCAGATTATCCAAATCAATATTTGAGTCATGTTATTCACTTAAAATGCGGATGATTCGAACAATTAAGCATACTTTGATCAGATAAGTCAGGCGTTACTAATTTTGATTCAGATCATCCGCACGGCCTCGACGGTAGTGCCATTCCCTAGCACGTTCAACTCTCTCTCTACATGCTCTTTCATATCCATTTCCTCCCATGTTCCATGCATACACCCATACACACACTAGCACATTAATACATGCACACAGTATGCATGCATACGGCCATGCATACACTCACTAAGCCACCTTTCTGTCCATCCCCATCGTCTGTCTCTCACTTTGATTCCAGCAACGACAACTCAACAGTTCTGCTCCAGCTCATCACCCTGTAACCCGCCGAGCCTATGCTGCAGGTCAGTTCAATGTTTGAGAAGTTTCACAACCCGAGCCTATGCTGCTTGTCCGCTCGCCGTCGCTCCTCTCCCTGCCTCTTTCCTGCCTGTCGTGCCATGCCATCAGAACACACCCTTTCGGTCCGTCGGACCTTTCAGAGCTCACACTACTTTTCATCTACCTACCAATTCCGTGGCCTCATCCCTTCCCCTTCTTTTCTTTCACCTCCCCCTTCCCCGCTGTAGTAATCAACCCTCTTTTCCCTGGCGCCTTCCTCATCCTCTTTCTCCTGTCTCGTTTCTCACTCTCCTCCTCTTTCTCCTGTATCGTTTCTCACTCTCTTTCTCCTCTTTCTCCTGTCTCGTTTCTCACTCTCCTTCTCCTCTTTCTCCTGTCTCGTTTCTCAATCTCTTTCTCCTCTTTCTCCTGTCTCGTTTCTCACTCTCCTTCTCCTCTTTCTCCTGTCTCGTTTCTCACTCTCCTTCTCCTCTTTCTCCTGTCTCGTTTCTCACTCTCCTTCTCCTCTTTCTCCTGTCTCGTTTGAACTCTCCTTCGTTCGCAGCCAGTGGGGCTGGTGTGGAAGCAACGACTCCTTCTGCGGTGCGGGATGCCAGAACGGGCCGTGCTCTGGTGAGGATAATGGTTCAGATGAGTCAGATCATAAATATTCTTTGGTGAGGGCGATTTCGATGATTGAGATGCTGCCGGATAATTAGGATAGCTCTGGTAATTCACATCAGATTATTCAGATGATTCGGATGGCTTCTCCCTCACCTCCGCCTTCCACCTCCCATCTCCTTCCCCACCAGGCGGCTCAGGAGGAAAATCCTCAGTATCCACGGGGGTAGTGGTGGGGATTGTGGTGGGAGCGGTGCTGCTGCTGCTGGGGGTGGTGCTACTAACGGTGTTCTGGTATCAGAGAAGGCGCAGCGCCAAGGCAGCAGCAAATGGAGGAGGAAAAGATGAAGGTAAGTAAAGGCGTGTGAGGGGGTTTTTGCATTTGTGGGGGCTTACGGATTAATACAGGGCATATGGAGATGAGGATTCACGGATCTGTAAGGGGGTCTCATGATATATCAGAAATTTTGTTCCCCATGCTGCTTTTTGAGAATTCTAAGAAATGTATTTGTGATGGCAGCTCGCGTCATCATAATGCTATGAAGACAGCCTGAAAATCATCGCAGCATGGCAATAACGAGTTTTGAGAAACCTCAAAACTGATGGCAGCTCGACAACGTGCCAGTTTGCCTTTCCAATCCTCCTCATCTCGTCCGACCCCTTTGCACCGCCGTCCCTACATGTGTTTATGCACCATTCCCCCAGAATCAGCAAAATCAGGAGTAGCCGCAGCAGCAGCAGCAACAGCAGCGGTAGCACCAGCACCAGCAGCAGCAGGAGCGGGGATACGTGGGCACGCGCAATGCCAATGCTACCCCTTGGCTGACGTGCTATGGGCAACTAACAACTGGGCTGAGGCGAATAAGATCGGCAGCGGCGGGTTTGGGGACGTGTTCAAGGGAGTGTCACCGCATGACCCATCGGTGCTGTGGGCTGTGAAGCGCGCCACTGTATTCACCACCGACGACTTCCGTCGAGAGGTGAGTGGTGCAGTGCGGTGTGGTGCGGTGTGATGTGGTGGGGTGTGCCACCTAGCTAGGGTGCATGCTATCAAAGGATTGGCAGCAGCGAGTTCGGGGACGTGTTCAAGGGAGTGTCGCCGCATGACCCAACGGTGCTGTGGGCTGTGAAGCGAGCCACTGTATTCACCACCGACGACTTTCGCCGAGAGGTGCGTGGTGCGGTGCAGTTTACTGCAATGTGGTGCGGTGCAGTGTGGTGTGGTGTGATGTGATGGGGTGTACCACGTAGCTAGTGTCCATTTTATCGAAGATCTGACAGCCGCGGGTTCAGGGGCGTGTTCAAGGATATGTCGCCCCATGACCCGTCCCCCTCTCTTCCCCCATCTCCCCTCCCACCCTCTTCCTCCCCCTCTTCCTCCTTCCTCCATATCTCCACGTCAGGTGGAGGAGATGGCATCAAAGAATCACGTCAATCTCGTGCGCCTCTTAGGCTACTGCAGCCACATTCACTCCCCACCCTCTCCCCCTCCCTTCCCCTCCCTTCCCCTCCTCCCCTCACATTTCTCCGCGTCAGGTGGAGGAGATGGCATCAAAGAATCACGTCAATTTCGTGCGCCTCTTAGGCTACTGCAGCCACATGGACGCGGCAACTGGGGTGATACTTATGAGGCGCCTCAGCAACTACTCTTCCTCCCTTCCCCTCTCCCTTCCTCCCTATCTCCCCGCCAGGTGGAGGAGATGGCAGCAAAGAATCACGTCAATCTCGTGCGCCTCTTAGGCTACTGCAGCCACATTCACTCCCCACCCTCTCACCCTCCCTTCCCCTCCCTTCCCCTCCCCCCCTCACATTTCTCCACGTCAGGTGGAGGAGATGGCATCAAAGAATCACGTCAAACTCGTGCGCCTCTTAGGCTACTGCGTCCCCTCTCTCCCCCCGCTTCCCCACTTCCCCACTTCCCCTTTCCTCCCCCGTCTCCCCTCCCCCCGCCCTCCCAAACTTCACCATATCAGGTGGAGGAGATGGCATCAAAGAATCACGTGAACCTCGTGCGCCTCTTAGGCCACTGCAGCCACATGGACGCGGCAACTGGAGGCATAGAGCAGATTCTCATCTATGAGTACATGCACAATGGTGACCTCGAGAGATGGGTGGGACCAGGTGGGTTTCGAGACTCAAAAGGCACCTTGTGGCAACTGGGGGCATAGAGCAGATTCTCATCTATGAGTTCATGCACAACAGTGACCTTGAGAGATGGGTGGGACCAGGTGGGTTGTGAGTCGACTCAAGGGACACCTCGTGATGGCTGGGGGAATGGCTGGGGGCATAGAGCAGATTCTTATCTATGAGCACATGCACAACGGTGACCTCAAGAGATGGGTGGGACCAGGTGGGTGCTTGGATGGGATGCGTTGATAGCCTGAATCGATGATGATCCCCAGAGAAATGCTGCTCGTCCGTCCATCCCTCGCAACCTGTGGCAGCGCTTTGACGTGCTCATAGGGGTGGCTCAGGGCCTTCAGTATCTCCGTAGCTTCAGCATCCATCCCCATGCTTCTAACTTCAAGATTTTCTCCCTATTTTATTCCACACACTCTTTGCCCTCCCCACCACAACCACGACCAGGAGTGAAAGTGCCTCTGACTCTGAGGCAGCGCTTGGACGTGCTCATAGGGGTGGCGCAGGGCTTGCAGTATTTACACAGCTTTAGCATCGTGCATCGTGATATCAAGCCCGCCAACATCCTTCTCGACAGGAACATGCAGGTGAGCTTGTTCTGAGTGTGCCTTTCTTTGTAACCTTCACTATGGGAGAGAGTACCTTCACAGCTTCAATATCATGCATCGTGATATCAAGCTTGCAAATATTCTGCTTGACAAAAACATGCAGGTACATTGATGTGTGCATTTATTGATTAATGGTCGCATGTATGAGCACACATATGACACCACTCTCTCGATCCATGACAACATACCTGTCTCCATCCACAATTGTCGTGACTTTTATTCTTCGGCTCCATCTCCTATCTCAAACTCACTACTTACCCTCATCGCCCTCCTCCTTCCCTTTATTGCATGCGTTTAAGTACTGGCCCTCTTTCTCGTCTCCGCCGCCCTCTCTCTCTCCCCCAATCTCCAGGCAAAGTTTGTTGCTTCGCTCTCTCCTCACTCTCTCCTTCTCTCTCTCTCCCTGCCTCTCTTCAGGCCAAGGTGGCTGACTTTGGGCTGGTGCGGATAAGCAAAGGCACCACTGTTTTCTCTACGCTCTCTCCTCACTCTCTCCACCTCTTTCTCTCCACTTCTTTCTCTCCACCTCTTTCTCTCCACTCTCCCCGCCTCTCTTCAGGCCAAGGTGGCTGACTTTGGGCTTGTGCGGATAAGCAAAGGCACCACTGTCGGTGCAACGCGGGTGATGGGAACACCGGGCTATGTGGATCCAGCATATTCATGGACACAGAAGGCCACTCCTGCAGCGGACGTGTACAGGTGAGTGGAGATGCAAGGGAGAGTGCCATGTTGGTAGCACGGGTGATGGGAGCACCGGGCTATGTGGGTCCAGCATATTCATGGACACAGAAGGCCAGAGAAGGCACGAGTTTGTGCCAATTACCAATCATTGCACACCATCATTGCACACATGCCTGTGCCCGTCTGGTGCTGCTGTCAGTCCTCACAGCACGCAAGGGTGTGCACTACTTGGTGACAATCAAACATGACAGTCAATCCCATGCCACACTGCCTTTCAAGAGCTGCTATGCTATGCATGTGCCTTTTGTGCTTGTCCCGTGTCCTTACAGCTTTGGAGTGGTGATGCTGTCAGTCGTTACTGCATGCAAAGGAGTGGTCTACTTGGCAGGCCACACAGCCGTGAATTCTCTGGAGGACAACCGGATGAAGCTCACTGATTGGGTGAGTCTGCTAGCGAGAAAGGATGAAAAAAACGATTATTGATTGATCAACGGATGAAAATCGGCGATGATTGATCAACGGATGACAAAAATATTAAGATTTGTGTGCTCGCTACGTGAAAAGGACGCACAGGGTGATTGAGGAAGATTGTGAGAGGTGTATATATGGATCCAGGCAGATTGACCCCTCACAAGGGGAGAAAATGTTGCGAAACATTCTCTTAACAAAACAAGCATATGCTGGTCAGTCGAAATCTTGGCAAACATTTTGACTACTCTCTTGAGCCTCTTGTGCCTCTTGTATCCCTCCTCCCCCCGTTGCATTCTCCCCTTCCAGGAGCAACCCCTAGTGGGTGCAGGGAATGCATACGTGATCATGACGTGCTCATTGGTTGCAGATAGGGTCTAGTACCCTTGTATGTCTTCCCCCATCCAGGTGCCACCCCTAGTGGGCGTGGGAAATGCTTACACCATCAAGGACTCGCGTCTAGACGCCCCCAGCCATGTCATCGTCTCATGCCTCTTATGCCTTTTGTATCACTTCTGTCTCTCCCACTACCTCATCCCTCACCCCACCCCTCCAGGTGCAACCCCTAGTGGATGCAGGGGATGCAGACACCATCAAAGACCCACGTCTAGACGCCCCTAACCACATCATCCTCCGCCTCGCCCGCTTCGCCCTCTCTTGCACAACCATGCCCGTGACCACCCGCCCCACCATGGCCCGTATTGTATCCGAGCTTATGGCCATGAAAGAAGAGTGCTTTGGTCCGGAAACCGACCCTGCGTTAGAGAATGTGGATAGGCATTTGGAGAGCATGAGGGTCTCGAGCCTCTCCCAGGAGCTTCGGAGAGCAAGCCGTGCTTCGGAACGGGAAGGAGCGTCAGGTTTCAGTAGTACGATGGGGTCAATTGAGGAAAATGGGGGCTATAGGTAGCTTTGATGGATGCGTGCTCTGTGTCGTATAAATGAGTCGAATAAAAGGAATTTGGCCTGGTAAAAAGCCTTTTATTCAACCAAAGAATTGACCAACAGTTGATGGGAGGTAAGGTGAGGTGATTGCCCTGGCTAAGGGCTTGTTCGCAAATTTCCTGATGTATGCATTCAATGACGTGAGGCGACCAAGGTACCAAAGCTGTACCCGTTGACGTTGTACACTGGTACTGAACATTTGTTAGCGTTACCTTTTCTACACCTGGTGCAAATTGTTTTAGGGAACGAGGGCGACAATAAGGGGCTGACCAGATACCCTTCGAACCGGCTCGGACTGAGGTTCTAGCAGGCCAACGACGATTGTAACTGGCTGCATGTCGATTGTTTCGCATTCCACAGAATGCGACTTGTAACTTGTCGCTCTCGTCTGTGTTTCGCAGCACCCGTTCCGGTGCTGGTCTGCATCCAGCCTGAGAGGTGCTGTTTCGTAGCAGATCGCGAACTGTCGGACGGGTGGTGCGCAGCATGCTTTTTGTCGGACCAGAAACGAAGTCAGCGAAATGCCTCGGGCTGACGCTGACAAGCCCCCAAAAAACTAGTCCTGTCGTGTGAGACACTCGTGCGCTTCGCGAGGCTGATAGTATCCACCCAGTTGCTATTGTTTAAAAAAGTTGTCTGCGGTGAGGGAATGAAATCGCCATAAGGGCCGAAGAGAAAACGGTCGTGGATTTGTCGTACCTCGCCACTGGCAAAATGTTCTTCGCTGGAAGCGGTTACCATATTTACTCTGACGTCATCAGTTACCCTATACGTTTTAGCCGCAACTCATGTTCCCTCTGACAATCACCTCCCTGATATCAGGATCACCTGACCGAATTCCTGACTACAAAAATTGTCATCAGTCGCAGTCTCATCAGCGGATTTACCAACAACAATAATCGTCGGTTTTCAGAAAGGGCAAGCACGCCCGAGCAGAAACCGTATAATAGTAAGGATTCTCGCCATACATCTCAGTATCATTTTTTTCTCGTCGTTTCTTCTCAGTGTCATTATTATCACAGCGGATAGCAATCCCTTTGCTAGTTTCCATGGCTCCTCCGTGGCGCCTCCACTCTGCGAGCGTGCTTCGCGCTTCCGGCACCTTATTTCTCTCCATCGCCATCGCATTTATTCTGATGCCAGTAGCGCGCGCTCAACAGTGCTCGAGCTCCTCGCCGTGTAACCCGCCGAGCCTATGCTGCAGGTTAGTTTTAAGACGTCTCACAACCTGAGCCCATGCTGCAGGTCCGTCATGAGATTTTTTTACAAACCTCGAAATTCTCTCAACAGTGTTCGACATCACAGCCGTGTGATTCGCCGAGCGTATATTATTGCTGGCCGTCTAGATTCTTTCAGAACACGCGCTCCTCCTTCCTGTCGTTTCATGCTTTCAGAACACGCCGTTTCCGGTCGTTTCGTGCTTTCAGAGCGACAGTCATTTTCATCCTCACGAATTTGACTACACAACAATCCTTTCCCTTGCACCTGCCTGGTTTCTCACCCCCTTTTGTACGCAGCAAGTGGGGCTGGTGCGGCAGCAACGTCTCCTACTGCGGTGACGGATGCCAGAACGGGCCGTGTTCTGGTGAGGCTGATGGTTCAAATGATTCAGATAATTCATATGCTTCGAACAATTTAGATAATGTGGAATATTCTGAAAATTTGAATGTGCCTGCTCCCGTTCATCGCTCACTATCCTTTGACCGTTTTCATTCCCATGCACACCCACAGGAGGCAAAGGCAGTGGCTCAGCTTCCTTTCGCCGCATCACCTACTTCCCCAACTGGAGCGGCATCGACCCCAGCACCATCCAAGTGGACCACTTCACTCACATCGTCTACGCCTTTGCTGCCATCAGCCCCCTCAACTACACTGTAAGGCCTGTCAGTTGCTGCTATCATCCCTACACCGTAAGCCCTCGCACTCTGTCACGGATTTCTATCATGGCCTCTACACCTGCTTCACGACCATCAAGGCCAGATCTTTTTGTCAATGCAGCTTCCCCCCTTTCTCTCTTTGATTTTGCTCCCCTTTCTCTATTCATCTCCCTTCGCCCCTTCCTCTGATCCAGGTGGTGCCCTCTGAGTGGTGGACAGACGTCTCTGGCGGCCTCTACAGCCGCTTCACGGCAGCCATCAAGGCCAAAAACCCAGCTGTCAAGCCGATTCTCTCCATCGGCGGTGGTGATGCCGTCAGCGCACCGCGGTTCTCTTATGCCTCAGCTACTCAAGCACGGCGCACTAAGTTTATCAACTCGGCGATTGCTTTAGCCAGGAAGTATGGTTTTCAGGGGATTGACATAGATTGGGAGACTCCAAAGGGTGTTCCAGCGCGCTTTTCAGCGCTGATTCAAGATTTCCGGGCAGCTGTTGATGCTGAAGCTGCCCGGACAGGTCGGGTGAAGCTCACGCTGTCGGCAGCTGTGCCGGGGTATACGGGGGAGATTGATTCCAGCTTCCATATCCCAACACTTAACAAAGTGCTGGACTGGGTGGGAATCATGACGTATGATATGCATGGGGAGTGGGAAGCAGAGACTGGGCAACACACAGCCCTGGAGGACAAGAAATATCCATTAGCAAGTATTAAGGGGTCTGTGCCAGTTTTTGCTGCCAAGGGATTGGCTCGAAGTAAGCTGGTGCTGGGTCTGGCGTCATATGGTCATGCGTGGACTCTCAAGAATGCCGCAAATCATGGGGTTGGGGCACCTGCTAAAGGAGGCCCCACTATGAGCTACAAGGAGATAGTCACGTTCATTGCGAATGGTGCCACAGCTGTGTTTCATTCCCCGACTTCATCGATGTATGCTTACAAGGGGACGAAGTGGGTCGGGTACGACAATCCTGACACAATTGCAATTAAGGTAAAATATGCAAAGCAGCAAGGGCTGGGTGGTTACATGTTCTGGTCATTTAATCAAGATAATGGATATAGTTTAGCCAAGGCCGCTGCTTCAACGGTTTAGGCTTAGTCACCTCATCAGCTGCTGTTTCGTATATATACATATACATTAATGGTTATTTCTGGAAATGGCTGTCCCGAAGCTGGTCCAGAAAACCTGAAGCGGGGATTGGATGACCCAGTGAGCCCAGCTTCATTCCCGAAGAAGGGAAAGAGGGTCGATGGTTGATTTTGCCAGGGAAAATCATGAGGTAGCTTCGACCCCCCCAGAACTATTTGTAGTTTGTGGCGAAGTCGGTTCGACATTCTTGACGTTTCCTGCCGAATGTCGGTCCCATGCCACGATATCAGCGACGCGATCATTCGCCTTCATTTCAGGCAAAACAAGCAGGAGGTACAGCAGGCACCTCGGATTCTTCGCAGATTCTTCAAGCATTGCTGGTTCTTTTATCTCGAGTTCTGGTGTCCTCAGGACAGCGACAATAGCAACCAAAATCAGTCATTAGCTTGTTTCCATGGCTCCTTCTTGGCGCCTCCCTACGAGCGAGCTTCGCGTCACGGCCACCTTACTCCACGTCGCCATCGCTTTGACTTTAATACCAGCAGCGCGCGCTCAACAATGCTCGAGATCCTCGCCGTGTAATCCGCCGAGCCTATGCTGCAGGTCCGTTTTGAGACGCTCACCACCCGAGCCTAGGCTTTCATTATGATGATGCTGCCGGAGATCAGCTGACGGCCTTCCTCTCCCTGCTCCTTCCCATCGTCTCATGCTTCAGAACACGCCGTTCGGCCCGACGGTGCTTTCAGAGCACAAAAATCTCTTCATAATCTTTTTCTTGGAGTTCTGGAAGGTCTCACAACCTCAGCTTCCAAAGACGCAAACTCAATTCTTTTCTAAGCTCATTGATTTCTCATGCGAGCGCTTTCTTTTTTTTTGTATCGATTTGGCTTCACAGCCAGGCCCTCCCCCACTGCAATCTCTCTCACCTCTCATCCGCCCTGTCTCTTCGCCTCTTTCGTCCCTTCCCCTTCTTCTCCTACCCGGCGCCACTTTAGAGTCGGCTCAAAAGTCAAACGCGGTTCCATCCACCCTTCTCTTCGCCCCTCTCGTCCCTTCCCCTTCTTCTCCTACCCGGCGCCTCTCATCCTCCTGCCTTGTCCGTCGCTCTCTCTCTTGCATGCAGCAAGTGGGGCTGGTGTGGAAGCAACTCCTCCTACTGCGGTGCGGGATGCAAGAACGGGCCGTGCTCTGGTGAGGACGATTCAGATGCCTCAGATATATTAGAGATGCTTCGGATAACATGATTTAGATTATTTTGTTGATTCATGTATTATTTCGGATGTTGTTTCTGGTCATTCGATGTACTCCGGTGCTTCAGATGTTCAGATGAGTAAGATGAGTCATATGATTCATATGGTTCAGGTGATTCACGTGGTCATGCCAGATTGAGTGAACATCATCCCAACCCATCCATGGGCACTTGCATGCACACGGACATGCACACATGCATGCACATGGTCATGCACGCATGCAAACACTGTTCCGACAGCGTCATCATCTGCTCCACCGCTTGCGCGGCACGCACGGGCATGGGCACTGGCTCCCTTTTGCCACGTTACTTACTACCCAACTGGAGCAGCATCAACCCCAGCACGTTTTCATGATTGCCCCCCTTTGCGCCCACCCCTTTGCTCCCTTTGCTCACACCTCTCGCCCTGCATGTGCTCAGCTTCCTTCCGCCGCATCACCTACTTCCCCAACTGGAGCGGCATCGACCCCAGCACCTTCCAAGTGAACCACTTCACTCACATCGTCTACGCCTTTGCAGCCATCAGCCCCCTCAACTACACTGTAAGCCCTGTGCTCTCCTGGCACCGTACCACTTTGCTTCATCAGTCAACACGTGCTTCACCTTTTTTCTCCCATCCAGGTGGTGCCTTATGAGTGGTGGACGGACATCTATCACGGCCTCTACACCCGCCTCACAGCAGCCATCAAGGCCAAGAACTCAGCAGTCAAGCCAGTCCTCTCCTTTCTCTCCTCGTCCTTGTTTCTTCCTTCCCCACATCCAGGTGGTGCCTTATGAGTGGTGGACGGACATCTATCACGGCCTCTACACCCGCTTCACAGCAGCCATCAAGGCCAAGAACCCAGCAGTCAAGTCAGTTCTCTCCATCGGCGGTGGCGATGCTGTCAGCGCACCGCGGTTCGCTTATGTTTCGGCTACCAAAGCGCGCCGCACAAAGTTCATCAACTCAGGGATTGCGTTGGCGAGAAGGTACGGGTTTCAGGGGATTGACATCGACTGGGAGCTTCCAAAGGGGATGCCGGGCCGGTTTTCAGCTTTGATTTTGGATTTTCGGGCAGCAATTGACGCTGAAGCTGCCCGGACACGTCGTGCGAAGCTCACGCTCTCGGCAGCTGTGACAGGGTATGCGGGGGAGATTGATTCCTGCTACCAGATATCGACACTTGACAAAGTGCTAGACTGGGTGGGAATAATGGCGTATGAGTTTCACGGGGAGTGGGACGACGTGACTGCGCAGCACACTGCTCTGGAAGACAAGAAAAACCCACTGTTGAGCATCAAAGGTGCTGTTGCAGGTTTTATTGCCAAGGGTTTGTCAAGAAGTAAGCTGGTGCTGGGTCTGGCATCATATGGTCATGTGTGGACGCTCAAGTCTGCTGCAAGCCATGGGGTTGGGGCATCTGCTAAAGGAGGTCCCACTATGAGCTACAAAGACATTGTGAAGTTCATTGCGGGTGGTGCTACATCTGCATTTGATTCGCCATCCTCGTCGATGTATGCTTATAAAGGGACCAAATGGGTGGGGTATGACAATCCTGACACGATTTCTGAAAAGGTCAAGTATGCCAAGCAGCAATGGCTGGGAGGTTACATGTTCTGGTCTTTTGATCAAGATTACAGATATAGCTTAGCCAGGGCTGCTGCAACAGTAGCTTCTACCTAGTCAACAAACAGTTTGTTTTCATATTAGATGTAGTAATGGCAGCTGTTAATATTGGTCTTACACTTGCTTTTCTGTTGATGAACTTAAAAGATATGTATCACAAGCTGGCTGGTCTTGTGCTTTTTATAATTCCTCCCTGATATTTTTGCATAATAAACGGTATGCTGTTGAAATCCGAAGTGCAGCTATCACGAGCAGTAGCGGAGTGACCAGAAACAAAACGGCTGAACTCAGCGGCCTTCGAGAGTTGCCTATCATCGAGGGCTGACAGGCAAAGTTGATGTTGGCAGGAGATCGGACGGTGGACAGGGATATGGTCCCGTCGCTGCTGTGCGGGTGCATTGTGCAATCTCGAGGCTACTATTTAGTTGAGGCTGAACAATGAAGTCTACTGTTTAGAAATTACTGTTTCTCTTACCTAGGCCATCATATGTACTTTCTGCTGATTCGTTATTGCCGCTACTTTTCAGGAGCGCGTTTCCCTAAGCTGTGTGCTCTTTCGGCGTTGCTGTTGCATCTCACCAGAGTAGTCAGCTGTTCGTATTCCGGCTTCGTGCTTCGCCATAGCGGGAGCAGCCCTCGCGGAAAGAACTCCGCGGGGAGCTTGCGTTTGACCCGTAGCGAGGTCGTATCTAGGGTCAATAGCCGAAACATACGCACGCAGACCACGCGATCGAGCAGTTACGCGAGCAAGCAAGCTAGTTTCCATATGAGAATGGAGAGACGGATTTGTCCGCGTTTGAGACGGCGGAAACGTTAGCTAGCATGCGCTCGTAATGAGGCACTCACAGGACATGGCGCCGTGACGAGGAGTGGCCCAGAGTGATTTATAGTCTGTTGCTTGAAGACAATGATACGCATTTCAGCAATGCAGGAGTGATATACAGGCCAAAAATAGGCCATAATTAGCTTAAACGTAGGACATAGGTTTGCCCTAAAGCGGCATAAGTAGGCCGGTAGGACATAAGCAGCCTGCACTAGCAGATCAATGGGATTCGGTCAAAGCCCTGGGACCGCGAGCAGCAGTTCTGGCAGCAATGGCAGCAACGGGGACCGCGGCGGCGTTTCTTTCATCGGCAGCGGGGGAGTCTCGTTCTTCAAGTCTTTATTCGATTCGTCTCAGAAAGCAGCTACTAAGACGGTAGTGGTAGAGGATGGCGACACGCTCTGGGACCTCTCCGTGAAATTCGGCGTGGATTGCGAGCAGCTGCAGGCGTTTAACAAGCTGACGTCGGACACTATTTACTCCGGGGACGTTCTTAATATCCCCGTCTCCCCCGCGCGCGTGTCCCTTTCTGAAACGGCGCAAAACTCTGCCGGAAACGCCTCCGCGCGCGTGTCCCTCTCCGCGCCCCCGCTGCTGACCCCCGCGCAAGCAACCACTTCCCCTTCACCCTCTTCCTCCCCCTACGCGCGAGAGTCCCCGCAGCCGTGCTTACGTGTCAGCACTACCGCCACCGCGACCGCGGCCGCCAGCACCGCCAGCACCTCCAACACCGCCGCGGACAGCAGCCCCGAGGGCCTTCGCGACAGCAGCGGGAGCGGCGGGAGTAGCGGGAGCGGCGGGAGCAGCAGCAGCAGCGGGAGCAGCAGTGGGAACGGGGGGAGCAGCGGGATGGGCGAGAGCAGTGGGAGCGGCGCAAATGCCTCTACTTCTAGCAAAAAGGAGATTAAGACCAAGTCAGTCTTAGTCCGCGATGGCGACACGGCGTGGGACATCTCCCTGCGCTTCGGGCTCACTCTAGACGAGCTATTATCTCTTAACGCGAGCATTCCCGACCCGCTATACCCCGGCGACGAGCTATTGCTGCCTGCAGACGCGGTGGAACGGCCGCGCGCGCTGGTGGCGCTGGCAGGCGTGAAGGCGAAGGTGAAGGGCACGATGCGCAATGCAAACTTCTGGGACGTGTTTCCGCCGCCCAGGAGTGAGTTGAGGGGAAGGGTTAGGATGTAGGGAGGGTGGGAATGGGTGGGTCTGATGTGCTACTACGTCTGGCGGTGGTGTTGCTTGTGCACTGGTGGCGCTGAAAGGAGTAAAGGCGAAGGTGAAAGGCACGATTCGCAATGCCAACGTCTGGGACGTGTTCCCGCCTCCTAGGAGTGGTGAGTAGGGGGGTGAGAGGGAATGTGAGAGGGTGGGAATGGGCGGGTGGGAAGTGGATGAGTGTGACACGCATGTCGAGTGACGGACAGGCTATACCCCGACAACGAGTAGGTGAAAGGCATGATGCGGAATGCCAACTTGCAGGACGCGTTTCCACCACCCAAGAGAGAGTTTGGTCGGCGGGAAAGGAAGTGGGCGGGAGCGAGCAGGTGGAGTGGGTGGGGAATGAGTTGGGGTGAGGATGTGAGTGTTCCATTACCCAGGAGTGAGAGGGGGGATGGAGAGGGGAGCAGGTGCGGCACCGCAAGCGGTACCGTGTTCTGCTTGATGCCACCCAATACATTAAGACCAGCTTCATTGAACTCACTCGTCATCCCATTGCCCATCCTCGCCCGTGCATACCAAAACATTCAGGCCTAATGCAAGTGCTACCATGTGCTGCCCCGCCTCCATTGAACCCACTCGTCCGTCCCTTTGCCCATCCTCACCCTTGCGTGCTACTCCCCCCTCAGACATTGATGCCCACCGCAAGCACTACCGAGTGCTGCTGGATGCCATGAGATACGAGGAGACGAGTTTGTATTGAGCCCACCGATCAGCATTCCCCTTTGCCCTGCCAAACTCGCACCACGTACAGACATTGATTCCTACCGCAAGCGCTACCGAGTGCTTCTGGATGTCATGAGATACGTTGGTATGTCGTTACCAGCTTTATCGAACCCACTCGTCCGTCCCCTTCCACGCCTGTCCCCTTCCCTGTCCTCCCTCCCACAGACATCGACGCCTACCGCAAGCGCTACCGCGTGTTGCTGGATGCAATGAGATACGTTGTTGTGTTGTTACCAGGCTCATCGAACCCACTTGTCCGTCCCCTTCCATGTCCTCCCTCCCACAGACATCGACGCCTACCGCAAGCGCTACCGCGTGTTGCTGGATGCGATGAGATACGTGGAGACGAGCTTCATTGAACCCGCCCCTGTGGGGGATGATGGGCTGTCCATCGGCCCCCTGCAGATCAGGTGTGTGAACTGTTGAACGTGCACATGAGGGCGAAAAGGATTGTCACTCTAAATTTTCACAAAAGTGACACAAACGAGTGCTGTTGGATGCAATGAGATTCGTAAAGACCAGCTTCATTGAATTGAACCCCCCCCTGTGGGGGATGATGGGGCGGGCTCTCCCCATTTCCTGCCCACCGCCCACCTCCGCCCCCTCTCCCCCCCCACCTCTCTCTCCCCAGCAGCGACTATCACACGGACGCGTGGTGGCCGGAGCACCTCCCGCCCCTGTCTTCCTCGCTCCCCCCCTCTTAGCACTGATTTATTATCTCCTCTGTCCCCCCCCACTCCCTCCCTCTCCCCCCCCATTCAGCAACGACTATCACACGGATGCGTGGTGGCTGGAGCACCGCCCGCCACTGTGTTACGAGGACTGCCATTGGTCGGTGGAGCACAGCGAGCGCACCGTCATCAACTACTGGCTGCGCTACTGCCCCTGGTCCCTCGAATTCCACGACCACGAGACCCTCGCTCGCACGCACAATGGCGGCCCGGGATTCTACCGATACATCAAAACAGCTACCTACTGGTGAGGGTCACGGGTTTGGGTTCAAGGTTTGAGGTTTGGGTTGAAGGCATATGGTCAACTACTGGCTGCGCTACTGCCCCTGTTCCCTTGAGTTTCACGACCATGAGACGCTTGCTCGCACACACAATGGGGGCCCGGGGTTTTACCGATACATCAAGACCGTCACCTACTGGTGAGGGCTTAGGGTGGGGGTTCAAGGGTTGGGGTACTACCTCCTGGTCCCTAAAATTCCACGACCATAAGATGCTCGCCAGCACGCTCAATGGGGAGGAGGGGGGGGGGGGGGGGGGGGGGGGGGGGTTATTGTTACGTCACGACTGCCTCTTACTCGTGAGGTGTTTTGGTACGATCTCCATCCATATCCCCTCTCCCCGTCTCCCCTTCTCCCCTTCTCTCTCCCTCTCTTCCTCTCCTGCTTCCCCCTCCGTCCTCTCTCTCCTTCCCTTCCCTTCTCTCAAAACTTCACTCTCTCGATGTGCAAGCCACCTTAACAACCTCACTCTCTCCCCCTTCCCCTTCCGTCTAATAAACGTATTTCCGCTTTCATTTACTTGCCGCATTTACAGGCGGAAGGTGAAGAGTGCGATGCGGCATGCGGGGTGGTTCCGAGTAATGCCCGAGTTTGACCCACACCTATCATCTACGCACTTGCATCCTCATGGCATTCTTCCCTTGTTCCAGAAGCACTTCCCGTTTTCCATCGCCATGTTAGAACCAGAACCTCATTCAGGAATTTATCAAATCTGATGTAAATGTGTCAGAATCATTATTTGTAGTAATGTTTGCCCAGAAGGGGCACAATTACCGCGTACCATATCTGTGCTATTTAAAAAGTATGCTAAGTGTATATGTTTTCCGAAGCACACTATGTGGCGTTTTCCATTGTTAACGGTCGCTTACCCTGTCGGTTCTAAGGCAGCACCAGCCACCGCTGCGACGGAATTTTATACGGCAAGCGACAAATAAAACAGTCGACCTTTCACACAACGAGTCGCTCAGCGAGTCACAAATGTCACAACGATCCACCGCCGGAGGCATCCTTCGCTCCCTTTCCCCGCCTCCCCAGCGCCTTTCCTCTGGCGTCTGTGCGGCAGCGGAATTCACGCGGTGGCTGGGGTTCGAGATTCGAGAATTTCGCAAGAATCCTCCGACTTGGCGAAAGCGCGGGATGCACTTCTGCGCGAGCTTCAAATTTGGAGATTTTGCACAGTGGAGTTCAATTCATCCATTCCCTCCACAAATCAATCCCTCAAAATCCAGTCTATCCAAGCTTCCAGCCCCTTCATCTCAACAGTCGATCAGTCGTCCATCATCTCACTTTCCTGTAACTCGCTCATTTTCACGTATTCTCAGTTATCTATCGGTTCCGTCGCCAGAGCTACTAGTCTCAGCTCGCTCCATTTGGTCCACCTACCATTGACGCACACCTGCGGTTTCCCATTTCTGCCTATCGTTGGACAATGGCTGCGATTCATCGCTTCGCCGTGCTGCTGCTAGCCGTAGTCGCGGTATGCCACGTCAGCGACGTGTCAGCACTCAACCCCGGGGAAGTGGGGCGAGCCATTGACTTCATCGGGAAGCGGCCGGAATACAAGGCGATCTTCAAATTTGTCGACGACTATTGTAAGTTGTGCATGCAGCCTCACTCATCTTCACTCAACCTCTCTCAACCTCTGTACTGAAGCCTCGTCAAAAGGCTCTCTTATCCGTTTTTGGCATGGCGGAATCTGTCAAAGATTGGTTAAACTTGGCACTTCAATTTCTAATGCTCAACTGCCTGTGTTTCTATTTGTGTCCCAACCCCAATTTCTTCCCACCAGTGAAATCTCTCATCCCGCTGACCGACCTGACTGTTCTTCTGCCCGCCAACATCGCACTGCTTCGCAACTACACCAAGGACCAGCAGACAACAATTCTGTCGTACAACACAATCGCCACGCGCTACCTCTTCCGCAACCTCACCAACATGCCGGCCGGCACGGAGCTCGACACTCTCGAGGGAAACATGGTCACGAAGCGCGGCCCCAAGAGCCTGCCGACCGTTACGTTTAAGGGCGCGGCGAAACTACCGAGCGTGCTGGCTGTGCCAAACCTGTGGGTTGGTACGGACTTCACGGTCCAGGGCACGAGCACGCTGCTCATCCCGCCGGAGCTGCTGACGCCCGAGGCTGACTCCATCCGCGGTGCGGTCAGAGGAACTCTCCGCGGTACAGTTGGGTTCGCCTTGGATGGCGCTGGTGCTCTTCTGAGGCCCCATGTCGCCCGCCCCTAGCTCATACGGAACTAATAGTTGGTAATGGTCTAATTCCGCTTTTCCAATGCGGGAATTGTGTTAGCAGTAGGAATCCTGCTTCTAAGCTGACTTGTAAATGGTCATGATATTATACGTAATAATGAGGTAATTTGCGCCGCAGCACCCTTCTCAATTGGAAAACTAACCGTGTAAGGACGTATTGGAACTTATATGCACGCAACTAGCTATCAACTAGTTATTATCAACTACCGAATGAAGAATGAAGCCTAGTGTAAGGGCGTATTTCTAGCTTCGTGTCATCCTGGCTTTGTGTCATCCGAAATTGTGGGATCGAACAGGAAAATTCAAAGCTCGAAACGCGGGTTTCCCGATTGGCTCTCACAATTTCGGATGACACAAACGCGGGATGACACGAAGCTAGGAATACACGTTAAGGAAGAGGGTACATGGAATTCAACTCAAGAGTGTCATTATCAACTAGTGATACTAGTGCAATTGAGTGATCGAAAGAGAATTGCACTATCGAAGCAAGAGTACAATGAGCTAAAGCATGAGCAAACAATATATAGCGAAACTACAGTGGTAACGGTAATGAACTCGAGGTGACGCGCGACGGGCCTGGAACCGAGGTTTGGGAAAATGTCGAGGCGGAGGCCCGAAGCGCGGATTACTTGCCGAGCCATGAGGTCGGGGTGCGACGTGCGACGGTGGCGGGAGGATTGTCGATGCGAGGGTTGCGAGTGGTACCGTAATACCCCGGATATAAGCGCACCTGCGCTTATAATAAAACATTGTTTTTTGGGGGGGTGCGTTTACAATTGGGTCAGATTTATGAGCGCATGCGCTTGAAAATCAATTTTGAACCCACCATTGTGAAGCTCATAAATCCTACACCCTAAACCCTAAAGGATAAAATGAAAATCAATTTTGAACACACCATTGTGAAGCTCTCAATAAGGCGAATTCAACCGACCATGCACCAAGTGGGATCGTGCATGGTTTTCAGGCAGAAACTGCAGCGGTTCGGTTTCCCACCGCACAATGTTGTCTGGAAACATCGAATGTGACAGTCGTGACAAGGATGTTGCCGTGCGGCCCAATCAGAGCCGCATGCGCTGCGTGGCATGTGCTGACAAAATTAGAAGAAAGAAAGAGGGGATTGACTAGCAAGAATGGGGATACAAATAGCAAACCCTAACAGGGTTGTACTCGCTATAGAGCACCCCACTACAGGCTAGATAAGAACATTCTGACACACCCCCATAGCCAAAGTGGGGTGTAATCAGCAGAGCAAGCAAAGCAGTACAAGCTCAGGGTGGATCACAATGTCACCACATATTCTGAGCACAAGTTCAAGAAGCAATAGTTTAAAGTTAAGAATTATGAGCAAAGCTAGAGGCTATCGCAGAGGGCAAGTGAGGAGGAGGAGGCGAGAGTGAGAGGAAAGGAGATAGAAGGCGACGGATGAAGCTGCAGACACACGGGCAACAGGAGGCAGACTGGCACAGCGGCTACCGGACGAAGCCCCCGGACTACAGGGGTAACTGGCCCCGCGGCTAAAGTAGCGGCAGACGAGCAACGGACCCACGGGCGGCTGGCACAGCTGGCTACGACTGAGCTACCGGACGAAGCCCCCGGACTACAGGTGCTGCTAGCGACACAGCGGCATCCTTCATTCAGCTCCCCAAACAGTCTCACCCCCCCTTGCACACACCCCCTACTGCACCCCTAGGGTCACTCACACCCCACCCCCTAGCACGACTCCAGCGACTCCCACACACCCACCCCCCTCAGCGGTAGCTGCAGCAGTGGGAGACAGAGGAGGAGGAGGAGCAGGGGAGACCACACACCCGCCACCCCCATACTCGCCACCCCCTACTCGCCACTCCCCAAACCCTAACTCAGGCAGGGCGGGATGGCGGGTAGGGAGGTTACGGGGGGGGGGGGGGGGGGGGAACCGACTCGCGGCCGCCCAGGGCGCCAAGACACGCAGCAGAAGGGAGGGCGGCGCTCGCCCCCCTCCCCCAGGCGGCCCCCGAGGGTCGCCTCGACAGGCGACGGGAAAAGGGGGGGGGGGGGGGGGGGGCGCAGGCGGGGCCGGGGCCGGGACTGGCGGCGCACGGGCGGTGTGGGGCCGGGACAGCGGCGCACGGGCGGCGACGGGCCGGGGCTGGCGGCGCACGGGCGGCGACGGGTCGGAGCAGCTGCGCGGGGCCGGGACGGGCGGCGCACGGGCGGCGACGGGCCGGGTCAGCGGCGCACGGGCGTCGACGGGCCGGGGCAGCGGCGCACGGGCGTTGACGAGCCGGGGCAGCGGCGCACGGGCGTCGACGGGCCGGCGCGCGGGTCCCCGTCGCCCGTCGTAGCGCCTCCCGAGGGCGACGCACCGAGCGACGAGGCAGAAGCCCGCCGCGCGCCTCGGGGCGCACAGCGGGCAGAGAACCGCCGTGCGCCTCGGGGCGCACGGCGGGCAGAAAACCGCCGCGCGCCTCGGGGCGCACGGCGGGAAGAAAAACTGCCGCACGCCACGGGGCGTGCGGCACAGAGAGTAGAAGTGGAAGTTGCAGCGGAAGCAACGAGGTGGTGGTAACCCACCCACAGGATCGATCCAAGGGGATCAACCTGCTCTGATAGCATGACAAAATTAGAAGAAAGAAAGAGGGGATTGACTAGCAAGAATGGGGATACAAATAGCAAACCCTAACAGGGTTGTACTCGCTATAGAGCACCCCACTACAGGCTAGATAAGAACATTCTGACATTTTTTTTTTTAACGAGAATGAATGAACTATGAATGAAGTGAGTACAAATATGAAACCCTAATTGGGTTGTACCCCCTATGGGATACCCCACTATAGCCTACACAACAGCATAAGCTATAATGTTCTGACATGTGCATTCGGGCAGAACCATCTCGAAGGTTCGGCAAGATTCCCTGCCAGCGCAGCGTAGATGCTGCCACGCGGGCGCCTCTACGGGAGTAGGCGGGGGTTTCCTGCCTGTCATCGACGAGGAACCTGAGCTGCCACGCAGTAGGGGTCCCCTTCGTTGCCCATTTCTTCACCCTCGTCTCTAATTTTTTCATTCAGTTTCCTGTCTAGCCCGCCTGGCAGGCGAAGCCATGGCGGAATTTAGTGGGACTCACATCCTCTTCAAGAAGAAACCACCCCGCACATGGCGACTTACCGAGGACGGGTGGTATACCCGTGAGCCACCAGCGCCTCCAGTGCCACCTGATCCCCCTGCACCCCCTGCTCCTCCTGCTCCCCCTGTGCCTCCTGCTCCACCCGCTCCACCCGCACCTCCCGCTCCTCCGAATCCGCCTCCTTTTGCTACGGCAGGTGCTCACCAACGGCCTGTGCTCCAACTGTATTTACCAGCCACGTTCGACGAATGGTTGGCTGAAGCGGACACACCCAAGGCCCCCAATGCACGCATCCAAGCTCCGGCGACTGCACCATGGTGGGGACAACCAGAAGCCTGCGCGTGGGATGAGTCGGCTGTGGGCGCCAACGATGATGTGGCTGCCGACAAACATGACAGCGGCGACGGCGAAGCTGGAGGCGACGGTGAAGCTGGTGGCGACGGTGCAGCGGGCGACGAGGAAGACGTGTTCCCCGACCGTGACACAACTGCCGAGGACGAGGACGGTGTGGAGTCCTGGTGGCGCGACGCACCACGCGCGAAGATGCCGGTACCGATGTATCCGACGTTTTAAGAAACAAAAAACGCCCGCCCCCCCTCCCCCAGGTACAAGCAGACTTAACATAAGCGGCAGTCCTACACCGCCCAGGAGAAGTTGAGGTGGCTCGTGTGGCTCGAGCTTGCGGCTTCGGTGAGCGAAGTGGCGCGGGAGTCAGGCATACACCGAAAATGTCTAACAGAATGGAAAGCCCAAGCGGAGGCGCTCAAGGCTGCACACGGAGCACGGATGCGACTTCACGGGCGCGGGAGGGCGTCTTGGTACCGCCCCATGGAGTTAAAGGTGTACGCGCAACTCCTCGATTGGCGACGCCGCGGAGTTGCGGTTTCGGTCGGCCAGCTGCAAGAGTGGTCCAAAGAAGTGATGAAGGTTCTCTACCCGGACGTCAAGTGGAAAGGCAGTCAGCGGTGGACGGAGCGGTTCCGCAAGCGGTGGAACCTCAGCGTGCGCATGAAAACAAAGGTGGCGCAGAATACACAGGAGCGTAAGTGGGTCGTTTACTGCTGATTTTGATTTATCCCGATTATGCTTGGTTTCTATTTCGCATGTCTCCTGTGCGTGATTCTAATTTGGTTTACTATATGTACTTATCTCCCTGTTCCGCAGACGTGGCTGAGCAATGCAAGGATTTTTTGCAGTACGTATGTGACGCCCGAAACGAATACGACATTGACAACCGCTACATCATCAACGCCGACCAGACACCGGTGTGGTTAGAAATGTTGGCGACGACCACCGTGGAGCAGACGGGCATGAGGTCGGTGCCCATCCGCAGCGGTGGGTACCAGAAGGAGAGAATGACCGTCATGCTTGCGTGCACGGCGATGGGCGAGAAGCTGAAGCCGTGGATGTTTGTCAAGCGCAAGACACTCTCGAAGGGTGACTTCCCGAACGGTAAGTGATCGTCGCGCGTGTTTATTCCCGTTACTACCAGAGTCGTCAACCATTTCTTTTTCCTTGCGTGCAGATGTTGTGGTCGGCTGCCAAGCGAATGGGTGGATGGAGGCCGCTGGCGTCATCGAGTGGCTCAACACGGGCGTGGTGTCGTTTTCCTGAAGCCGAAATTCGGCCTGCAGAGTCGTGGCGCCATGCTGGTGCTCGACTCCTATCGCGGTCACCTGACACCAGAACTCAAGGAGAGATGCGCGGCGCTCAACATCGTGCCTGCGATCATTCCGGCGGGATGCACAGCAGACCTGCAGCCCCTCGATGTGTCGATCAATAAGAGCTTCAAAGCAAGCATTCGTCAGCAGTACCAGAATTGGTTTGAGGAGGACGGCATGAACATCATGACCCCGGCGGGTGAGTGATGACA